TCTATTAGTAATTCCAGATCACGTCTGTGTAGCTGTTGATGTGGTGGTATGTACACAGAACATATGGTAATAAGTTTGCTAAAAAGTACAGCTCGAATGGCCACTGCCTCCAGGGCCGTTTGGAGCTTCAAATGCTGGCATGCTATACTACGATCGACTATAATGGCTATACCGCCAGAAGGTACAACAGGATCCTCCCGGTCTTTTCGGAAAATAATATATTGTCGTAGGAAGTCCTTGTGCTTAGGAGTTAAGTGCGTTTCTTGCACACATAGCACTTTCGCGTTAAACTTACACAGAAGTTCTTGGACGTCATCTAAATTTCTAAGTATTCCCCTTACGTTCCACTGTATGATTTTGTCCATAGTGGAAGAAAAAAGGGAAAAAGTGCTGTGTGCAAAGAAGACGGGGATTAACTCATTTTACAGGGCCTTTGTCAGGCCCTATAATCGGCGTTCTGTCCTGTTTGGGGCGGTCGAGCGAAGCTCGCCGCTCCTTCGGCGCTTCCTGCGCCGTTTGGCTTGAACTGGTGTCCATAGCCTCTTGCGAGGCACTGGACACCCGCTCTAAAGAGCGATCTGTGCGTCGCTTAGACTTCGCCTCGATCGACGAAGTCTTTGTTCCCACCGAGCTGGGGGTTGATGGAGCCCCCTTGGCCTCGTGATTGCCCTGGCTGCTGCCAGAGCTTGTAGAGGTCACTGGTGTGGACAGGCTGAAAGTGGGCAGGGCAGCGCTGGCTGCTCCCGCCGCAGGGGCGTGTGGCATTGGCCTCGGCACGCTAGGCGTGGTCCGGGCAACTGCCAAGGGCCTTTGTGGTGCCGCCCCTCGTTGCACCACTTCGGCAAAAGGTGTTTTTAGTGCTAATGATAACGAGACTCGTTGTCTTGCTTCCCTGAATGTGATATTTTCCTTAACTTTTATAGTTATTATTTCTTTTTCTCTTTTCCAGGCTGGGCACGCTCTGGAGTATGCGGGGTGGCTACCTTCGCAGTTTGCACAGAGGATCTCGTCATGACTACATTCATCAGCACTGTGGCCGGTTGTGCCACACTTAGCACACATCAGCTGTCCTCGGCAGCTCTGGGATGCATGACCAAATCGCTGGCATTTAAAACAACGCCTCGGGTTTGGAATGAAGGGTCGGACATGGAGTTTTACATAGCCAGTTTCGAGAGTCTCGGGTAAAGTGGTTGAGTTGAAGGTGAGTATCAAGTGCTTTGTTGCTATTTCATTGTTGTTACGTCTGATTTTGATGCGCTGGACTTGTATTACACCTTGATCCTTCCATCCATCAAAGAGCTCTTCTTCACTCAGTGTCATCAAATCTTCATCCGATACCACGCCCTTCACTGTATTCATGGTACGGTGTGCGCTCACAGAGACAGGGATGTTACCAAAGGCCACGAGGTGCGAGAGTTTATTGTACTGTTCCTTGTCTTTTAATTCGAGAAGCAGATCTCCACTTGCCATCTTCGTGGCCTTATAACCGGTTCCAATGGTCTCCCTCAAGCACTTGGCTACAAGGAAGGGTGAGATTGCTCTAGCTTTTGTAGATGATTGTTCGCAGTGGAGGACATGGTATTTTGGAAAAGTTTCTTTGTTTTTGGGCCAAAGTAGGAATGTTGCATCGGTGCGTACCCTTTTCGAAGCACGATCAGTTAAAGAGGGGGTCGGGGATCCCATGAGAAAATGTGTATTTTTCGGTAACAGCGCCTACCACCCACCACGGAGTCCAACGAGGGGACGTGGCAGAGCATGTAGGCATGTCTGCGCAACGCCAGCAGTACGCAGTTACTATAACCCAATATGGTTTACCCTAGTTTGGATAGCCACACAAGGTTAACCCTTGCCGCCAGGAAAAATTGGAAGTAAAATGAAGTGAGGAGAAGACAGGAAAGATGTAAAGTGAGAACAAATGACGAAGATATAGGGAGAGAGAGATAGGAAAAGGCGACTGCCGATTTCCCCTGGGTGGGTCAGCCCAGAGGTGCCGTCTACGTGAAGCCGGGGCCAAAGGGGTGTGTTGCCTCTGCCGGGGGGCCTTCAAGGTCCAATCACCCAGCGTCAGCTCAACCCCCAGGATCCCCTTTTCCCCGGACACGGCAAAGCCACGCACGGCTAGGCGTGGGAGGGAGTAGAAACTCCCCCGTTAGCTCGGGTCCGTGGTGTCGCTACACACCAAACGCCTACTTGCGCAGGCGCCCCTGCGGGGTCAGCAACATGTAGGCAGTACAACAATGTTACTGGTAACTGGTCACAAATCATTCAATCTGCTGCATCTTAAGTCCCGTCAGTCACCAAAAGTGATCATCTCTGAATACAGCCCTTGGTATTTCAACTACTAACTACTGTAAATGAGCGGAGCAAATCCAATTACACCAACGTACCAAGACTCCTACTTCAAAAGCATGGCCTAAATTCTGTTTATAGGCAAGAAGGATGCAATCTGTACAACAAAAGCATAATAAGAATGAGAATTCTTACACGAGGGTTTTGCCCATAATCTTCTATAACACACGATGCAACCTCCTCTTTTCTTTCCTTCAGCTAATGCCATGTAAAGTTTTCATTTGTTCTATTCTCCCCCCCAAAAGCAAGTGGTCAAACCAAATTTCCCTACACACTGACACTGGCACATGACATGCAAGAAGGCTATGAAAAAAGTGAAAGCATCTCAATTGCACACAACCCACTCAGAAACTGGGTTTCTCTATAGGTCCATTATCCATACTTCTCTTTAATGCATAATACTGTAAACACTACTTACATGTCTCCTTATTCTCGGTAATATTCTAAGTGAAACCCCCGCAATGTGTTAACAAAAATAATGTTACAACCTACTACATTTCTTGTTGCTCAATCTTTCATATTATGGTTTAATTGTCAATAAAACAGTTGCACTATAATGCATCAAGCACTACATATGGTGCATATTTAAATAATATAAATATCGTGATTAAAATGTTTTCAACAGCCAAGTGCGAAAGCTGCATGAGGGCTTTCTTATAATGAAAAAAATCCATAAACAGGGGTTGCTTGCTCGAGCCAATGATTCAACAAGTAGACTTGTTTTCTTCAAAGCTAAAACTGTGACTTCTTGCCTTGAACAAAACAAGTCCACTTGTCGAAACGTGACAGTTCTAGCATTGAAAAAGTCCAGTTGTCGAAACGTCAACTCAAGCATATCAACCTCCACTTACAAACATTTTCATCCTAAGTTTCCATCTTCCCCTTCATGTCATCTTTAAGAATGCCTCTAATAACATAAGACAGTGCCACATATAGAACCAACAACTGTTTACCCAAATGCATAAAATTCATTGTACAAGCCTAACGTTCCCCAAATCCATCCTTCCAAAATTTGACAGTCATACAAGCTAAAACACCAGGGATCAATCACTGCTGTTTTAACTTCATTTAACCACAAAAGAACATGTACAGCAGCTATATACTCGAGCGAAATTAACAACTATACACTCCAGCCAAATTAACTTATTTCATACACTGAAATGAGTCTTAAGCTTTAGATACAAATGATAACTGTGAGCACTGTGAGCCTCTGAATTACAGTTCAACCATAAGCAGCCATCACTGAACAATGCGCCTAACTGTTTGCAAAGGGTGTGCTCTGGAAAGACAAAGCAGGAAACCTGGGAAGAAATAGCTGATGCCTGCCATCAGCAAAAAATGATTTTGTTCAAATTCGAGCACTCAAGTTGTATAGAATCAAACAGTTACACTACTTTTACTATATGCACACAATTTTTCGAAAAGCTCCCAACACTAACACGGTATTTGCTAACTTATGGGTCAGTGTGAACATTAAAAACATTACAGAGGTTTCTGAACAAAAGACATAATCGAGCAAGCTACCAACACGTTAATCCATCTAGCAATATTCTAGGTGGCTTGTATTACTGACACCTGCGAGTGTTGGCTTTATTCAACGAAAGCTTGCAAAAAATGTGTCGTGCTTCAGAAAGGCGCTCGTCACCTTCACGGGGGGTGTGCTGCTGTCAGAATGTGCAGCACGTTTAACTTTTAACGAAGAAAAAGAAAAGGCATATGCGCAACAAAAACAGTGGCACGAATATCCCTCGCACTATGGCGATCATTTGTTATCTCAAATCATGCTAGAACATTGTGACGAAATGCGGCGTTTCCTCAAGCGGTACATGCCCGCACGAAATGTTACACAGCCCATAGTTTAAAACACCGAGACTAGAAGCCGCCCGTTCGTTTCGCGGCTCTATTTCAGCCATTTCACAATGACAGAAAGTATAAAGCGCAGTAAATGACCAGACAGAGAATGTAAACTCTCTGCCGCGCTGACACAAGGTCACTGACTGCAAATCACAGGGAGGGAAGGAGAGAGGGAGAGTTCATATGAGACAAAGTACAATGCGCTGGCCACAAGCACGAGTAAAGAGAGCAGACACGACGAAAATGAGAAGGTTGACTGCACAAACATCACCTGAGCGATCAAATTCAAGGCTACGATACGGCATCACCTATTTCTTCTCAGGTTTCCTGCTTCGTCTTTCCGCGGCACACCACCTGTTTGTATCCAACAGCCAAAAACTTTTCGGGTCCTGTTACGTACCGATCTTAACAAATGTGATTACCGTGCCATGGAACATATTTAACGAAAGATTATCATGGGAAAACAAGCGGCATCACTATGTCGCTTACCGATGATGCGGCAGCGCTTACGCGTCAATGCCACGAAGACGTCCGATTTAATTGTCACAGATTGCAACACCTTCGAAACAGCCTGTTGTACGTGTGCCCAGTTTAAACAACGCTAATTTATATGCGCAAAATTCCACTTGAAATACACGATTAAGCCTTTTCTTTTTTTCCCTTAAAAAAAAAAGACGCCGGAAAGCTGGCCCGTCGCTCACAGGCCAAAGTAGCACTGCGTCGTTGGAAATACAAGGAAAATTGTTTGCTTAAAAACCTATCAACCATGGGTAACTGACAAAAGCTTGAGTACTCACATGAAAATGGTTAAAGCGCAGCTCGACTGCTTCGTCTTTTACTTCTATAAAATACTCATACTTCCCGTGGCAAGAAGCTGACGTTACGTTCCGACCGCCGGAAATGGTTCAATACGCATGCGCCCTCAAAACAACGTGGCATTCAACCCAGAATGCACTTGAAAAAGGAAGCGGAAGTTACGCACTAAAAATGAAGCTGCTTTACATTGAACTGAAACCGAAAATACAACAAGCCTCTTCGATTTTTGCTGTTTTGGCAGCTTTACAAAAGCCCGAGCTGCCCGAGAACTGATCTGACAAAAAATGACGTCAACTATGCACGTATACCTAATATATTAACTTCATGGTTATGCGTAACGAGAGGCTAAATGCTCGAACAAGAGTCGGGCAACCGGACTGCCTCAGTCCGGTTGCCCGACTCTTGTCATCATCATCGTTACGCTAGCACAGCCGCGCTTGCTCTGTCGTCTGCTACATCTGCTACATAGAGGTATGGCAGCTTGGGCTAGTTGGTATGGCATGACGATAGTTATAGCGCGAGAACAAAAAGACGACACAGAGACAAGAAGTATTTCGCGTCCTTCTTGTCTCTGTGTCGTCTTTTTGTTCTCGCGCTATAACTATCGTCATGCTACATAGAGGCTTCGCGTCTTATGTGGTTCTTAAAGGGAAAAGAAGAGAAAAGTGAGCCCTGTAACTGCCTGCATCAGGTGCGACACCTCAACAGTAGCTCACAAGGAATGGGGGTAAGGAGGGATTAAAAGGAAATGATTAAAAGGCATATATAGAGAGAGGAACAAGAGATGGAGGCGCAGGGACAGCGAGCGACGGAAGTACAGTGTCTAGGAATATACTGCCTAGTGTGCTGAGCGCGTGCATTCCGTACGAGAGAGGGTGGCCCGCATATGATGACTGCACTCAGATGCCACAAGCGGCGCTGCGTGTGCCACAAGCAACGCGCGAAATTCATCTGGTTCTCTTGCTGCCGGAGCCGCGCAACGTTTAAAATCTGTGCGTGACAGCTGCCATCTGATTTACTGTGAAGTTCGACGACGGCACCATATGTACACTGCAACACCCTGAGATGTTAAAAGCTAAGCGGCCATGCAAAGAAAGGACGTTTACTGTGCCGCTGTGTCAAAGAAGTTATCTGTCGAACAAGGAAAAGGTGTCTTGTTCCCCGCACTAACGGATCCAGCATGGTTTCCTGAATGAAAAAGTAGGATCAAGAGGGCAGACAGAAGGCTGAATCCGAAGGCTGTCGTGTGAGAAAAGCATTCTGAGAGCGACTCCACCGAACCATCTTTTCAGATTAGGGTGGACGGTGTCGGGAATTAAATCGCCGTTTAGGCAAAATTTTAAATATTAATATTTATCTAAAAAATCAAAAATACCCTTCCGAATTTCATCCACACAGTTTTTCTCCCATGTCAACGTCGGACTCCCTTTCCAACAACGTTTTGAGTATCATATGCGGCGAGTGTCAGAATGATAACATTGACATGTTATCATTCTTTGTTTTCACTCGAATCCTGATTGAATGCAGGCTAAGAGGTAAAGGTTTTAGGTTCTTCTGTGATAATTCTTGCTCTCAAGAACAAAGCACATTTTAAAAAATAACTCTGGTGGTTATACTGTCAATGGTTTTGAAAATAATTTCTTTGCGTTGTGGGCCACGCAAAGACACGTGCGCCACGCGGCGCAGACAACTGTAAAGTTGTCTGCGCCGCGTGGCGCACGTGTCTCGCCCCAAGGCTTTATTTTGGTGGTGACCACCGCCAGGCGATAGATGGCGTTGTGTTCGCTTTGAGTACCACTGTTGGTAGAGTGGTAGCGCCGGCGGTGGCCCCTGGCGGAAGGCGGGCCTTGGTGGCGGGCGAGCTTTGAGCGAGCCTTTTCTGCGCGTGGCGGCTGCCGCGAATGGTTGTCTGTCGCGTGGGTCCCCCGGTGCTCGGCTTCGCGCCGGGGTCCCACGTGGAAGGTCAGGCGTTGGCGACGCCGCCTTGGGTATGTGCTAGTGTGTTGGGTGTGTTAGTGTGTTTTTATCATGTTATTGTGTGTTTAGTGCGTCCCTGCGTTATGTTGTTTGTATGGTTTAGTGTTAATTGACATTGTTGTATCATTCGGCGGACGATATCGTCGTCTAAATTAGTTAATAAATGTATGTATGTGGTGTGCTTGGTACCGATCGTGTCAACTGTGTCCGTTCACTCCGAGAGCGTGGCGTGGCGGTGCGCGCGTTCGCCTCGCCGAGACCCCACAGCGTACTGCAACCACTATGAGCATCTATCTATCTATCCGTCCATCTGTCCGTCCATCCATCTGTCCATTCGTCTGTCAAACCGTCTGTCTGTCTGTCCGTCCGTCTGACCATCCCGTCCTGAGGGTACCAATAAATGAAATCCGTTCGTCCGACTGTCTGCCTGTCCACCTATCCGTCTGTCTGTCTGTCTGCCTATCTATCTATCCACCCATCTATCTATCTATTTATCTATCGAATCGCCTACGTCTGGGTGCCCTCACGACCGCCCCCTTAACTTGGGGTCTTCGAAATACTTAGCAAGAAGAGCCAAATGTTCGTGAAACGCCAATGCTACTTCCAGTGTTGACTATCCAATTTCTTCCATATATTTAACGCCACTTCATAATCTTTCACTTAATAAAAATTACCATAGAGTCACCTTGCATAGCATTGATTACCAAAGTTACGTGGGATCTGCATCTTTTTTTTTTTTTTTTTTTGCGGGCAGTAGCGGATGGCGAAATGTATGCCACGAAATGATCTTCATTTGGTATTGCAAAGCGCTAGTACAGTGAAAGCAATCGAGTAGCTCTTATACAATAAAGCATTATGTAAAAAAACACTCCGAAAATGCAGAAAAGTAATAGTTGGCCTCACGCGGCTCGGCCTCCTACAGGCTTCGCAGCGCTTGAGGAGCGCAAGGATTGAACGCAAATGCACCCACTCGCTCAGCAGCGCACCATGCGGGTGCCACCGGCAGTCATCAGCTGTGAGACCATCTCCTAGTCCGCGCTCAGCACACTAGGCAGTATATTTCATGACACTGTAAAGGAAGTAAAGAGAAGATAAGAAAGATGGATACGGTCGCAGAAGTCCGAGGACAGGACACCACTCGACGAGAGCTTTTATCGGCGTCAGGTGATGGCGTAAGGCGAGTCCAGTTGGCCAGAGGTACGCTGTCGTCGGAGATCGTGAAGGCACAACTGGTCGGCACGAAATCCAGCGAGCGAACTCGAGACTTCGCAAACGAGACCGTTGCGATGTTCTACGCGCTTGCTTTCGACGCGATTGAAGATGAAAATGATGTAATGGAGAATCACAGCAGCCTATTGTTGGACCGGGTAATGCGGCAAGATCGACACTATGTCCTTCATACGCAGAGCGGATTGTGCCAGCGTACGTGTACCCGAACTTCAGAAAAATGCTTCGACTGTAGTACAACAGCATCTGCAGTTATCGTGGAATATTTTGAGAAGCCCGCATTTTATCCGTAGGTCTCGCGCCGGACGATGGAAGATGTCAACTTATAATGCCGGACAGGGCTAAATCGGCACGCAGACTACAATGCATGTTATTGCGGATATTCGACGCGAGCTAGGGGATTGGAGTGTGCTCGTCGCAATTCGGCGTTCTTGACTTCCTAATTGCTATCAATGCGAGAGGTGGATCAAGAGGCTGGACAGCAATGACATCGCACGAAGCAAGCGTGCATTTCGTGGACAGCTGTATTAACGCCAAAGGGTGGAAGCTGGCGTTCAAGACTGGCGTCAGCATGGTCGTCGACGGCTGGCTGTACGTCACATTATTCGATGCATATACCCCGAGTGCCCTACCATCAGAACCGGAGGAGAGCTACGACCACGACAAGCTTTAGTGCTGCAAGAGGGCAAAAATCAAACGTCACACGTGAAAATCACTCGCACGACAATAAAATCCTACCTTCGGTTACAACACACGATTGCCATCGTGCAGCACAAAGCATCCGTTCGAACAGGGAAAGGGCAGACTTCGGTTTGCATCGCTCGGACACGGCGCCTGTAGTTTCCAGTGTTCATTTGTGCTGCGAATCAAACCGCGAATCGTCACTGGATCAACGTGCACATATCTGTGAGGACGCACATCTCTGTGTAGCACGCTAGAAACCAGCTTTCTGCAAGCCGACCTCTTGCTTGCTTGCTTGCTTGCTTGCTTGCTTGCTTGCTTGCTTGCTTGTACGTTTGGCACGGACCCACCACGGGGGAGTGCCATTAAACTGGTGGTTAATATAACGGGAAAAACGAATTTAAAGTTTAGATAAAGGAAAGTTAATTATTAGTCATCTAGAGATTATGGAAATCGAACAATCATAAGGCTAAGTACGAATAAAAAAGTCCAGAACTATTAACTGAAAATAATAAATAACTAAGAATTCTAAAGTACTAGATTATGGCCGGTAGAAATAAATTTAAGTAAATCTTCTTACATCTAAGAAATTCGCAAACAGCCTTGCAGACATTTCTGTTGCTGTGGCCCAAAACGTCAGCAATTGTGAAACGTCAGCAATTAAGTAAGTAAAAAGTGATCGATGTTTTCAAGCTCTTGACAGTAAAAGCAAAGGGGAGGCGACACCTGATCAATAAACATAATCTCCTTCTTGATTCAGAGGGGCTGGCACATGTTTGACTTATATGCTTACCAACGTTTACATAAAGCGGTCGCATATATGATTGACATCAGCCCGGGAGAACCAGCTAGCCCGTTCGAATTATCTGCGTGTTGCCGCACAGATTGTGTCTTTACGAAAGTGATCTAGGCTAAAACGAAAATTTAACTACGAGGATTTATGTGTCAAGACCACAATTTGATGGAAGAACCCATAACGATCCGAAACTACGTAATTATATAACGTTTCCCCCTGCGATTTATATGGTATTGCTGTCGCTGATATTCAGTTGAGGAGCATTAAGTGTTCGCGCATTTATTTTTCTACAAAAAGCAGTATGTATGTTTGCAGGGTAATTGCGAACGAATTACTGCTTCACCCTCGATCTTTTCAGTAGGCTTCTTGTATTTCTCACTGGTGTGCTCAGCTTT